CGTTAAGTGGTATGGCAATGGTATGTTTAGACAAAAAGAATGTTCTTGTTTTTAGGAGCTACTTGCAGAAAGATTTGGGGTTAAGGGTCATGAAGCCTCCTGCAGTTTACTCTCAAATGGTCTGGGAAGGAAAAATAAGAGGCATGAGTGGAGAGGCAGAGAATATATGGATGTGTGCAAATGTGGCAAAATGCAAACAGCTGGTGAAGTCTAGGTGAAAGGAGTTACAGATGTTCACTGTTGCAGTCTTATAATTTCTTTTGAAATGAAATCCTTCCAGATAAAAAGTAGGGGGGAAGGAAGAGGTGACAGAGCTATGTGTATTAACTTAAAAGTATACCCATGATCTACAAATATAGATACAAAATGTTAACATATTTAATTATTTTTTTTCAATGAGCACATAAAACATTTAAGACAAAAGAAAAAAAATCCCAGCATGTAGAGTGTGATCCCAATTTTGGTATTTTGTTTTTTAAATGGCTATGTGTATGTATGTTTGCACACATGCATATGTGTAGATGACATATTTTCACATAGAAAGACAGGAAAGAAATATACCACAATAGGTCAGAGTAATTATAAAACAAAACAAGAAAACTAACTCCAATAAATGTTATATTTAAGAAAGAAGAAAATGTCTCAGTTCTAGTTTCTAGGTATCTCCTGGAAATAAAGAGTATGACCAGGGCCTCTTCCGGGGGAAGCCCGTGCCATTCTCCACTCTTCAGCACCCCTTCCCTGCCTTCCTCCTCTCTGTATAGGCTTTGGGTCTTCAATGACCCCTACAAATATGACCTAATACCCTGCTGGGACCTGAAAGCAAGGACATTCCAGATGTTTCCTTTACCTGCCAACTGGGAAAGACAAATGCAGCAACCACAGCTGACCTGAAGGGCTGGCAGCTCCATACAGTCCATGAATCCCTGCTGCTTCTCGGATTTGCATAGAGGGGCAGGAGGTTCTCAGAACACCCTGGCAGCCTTTCCCACCTCCATAAATCCCACCTCTAAGGTGTCTGACTCGCCTCCTGGTTGAGAATCCTCCCTGCCGTGGAAACCACTGGTAACGCTCAGGGAAAGAGCGCCAATCATCCTCTCCCCACGCACGCCATCATGACCAAACACCCGGCCACTTCTAAAATTCTACTGGTTTCATCTCCCTTAAAGACAACAAATCTTCAGGTTCAGTATCTTTTGCTAGTTCACAAATGAACTGAAGTATTTGTAACACTGCCTATTTCCATAGCAAATATAAATACAGAATTTCAGAGTTGGATACTAAAGTTTAAAATATGTATGGTTTTCCCAAGGTCAAATAAAAAGTCAAATCACAAAGGCACTGCAGATAAAAGTACCCATCATCATCACCACCTTGGTGATCCCTCAAGCAAAAAACTTCTACTAGTTAGAAACCCTGAGATAATTAGCAGTCGCAGGATACTGAAACACATTATTTCCATTCATCTTCAACATGGAATATACCTTTTAACTGGTCCAGGAATGGCACATGCTAGGTTTGTCTTTATAGTGACTTTGGGGGCAAATCGTTTGGTAAATAATTAAACAGTGAAAGACAGGGGACTGTCTTGCCTGCTTAAGAGAAAGGGGTCCTTTGACATCATGCCCTCTCCTTGAAAAGCTGCTGTTTGAAAGCAGTGCCCACCCCAGCTTAATTCACATTTGCTACAGACAATCACACTGGGAAGTTTTCCAATCCATCCACTTCACTTAAAGGGCTTGCTTTCATGTGTCAAGCTGATAGAAAACTAAGGGCTCTTAAGAGCCACTGAGTGCAAACTCCCCAAAAATACCACTTTCCAACATGAATGAAAACAACTGGAACAAAGCAAATAATGATGCCACCAACCAGCAGGGATTCATTAACACTCTCTAGCCAAACAGCCTTGTCCGCGCAGCCAAGAGTGGAGCCCAGGTAACAAGAAGGTAGTCGTATCTCGACTCTCCCTCACAGATCACCCTGTGGGCAGAATACCCAGAGGGGTCATGTCCCGCCAGCGGGCTCTGCCCTGGAAGGCTGCTGGATTCCTCCCTCCCCATCTCAGACAAGAACACACCCAATATCGAGGCAAACTGCAAGGCTGTGCCAAGGCCAAGGTGCACCAGGTAACGGGGCCCAAGGCCTAGGCTTCAGGCCTGTCAGTCTGGGGTCCTCTGAGAAAATGTGCCCCTCATCAGTGAAAATGACTGAGAGTTAATAAAACAGTAGTCAAAACAGAAATCCACTGCATGTTATTGTGAGTCAGGAAGGAGACAGAAGGTTGCAATTTCCATCTTTGTATAGGTAAGGGTTTAAAAGAGGGCTTTTCATCTAGCAGCAAAGAGGGACTTAGCCAAACAGTTAAATACCTGAGTTCTGGGGGCACAAAGGGCTACAACTATCCCAGTAGTAACAGAAAGCTCGGCATTACTAACAGTATAATTGGGATTGAAAAAAAAAAAAAGAGGCCAATCTGCCTTATTTTGTCAAAATCACAAAGTGAGGAAGCTAAGGAAATATTGAAACCATTAAATATTTAACGCTAAGCCCCTCCCTCACTTTTTGCCTCCTGAAAACATCAGGGGCCCCTTCTCCTTGGTGAGGAAGTATGTACGCATCTCCTCAGGACACACTGGAACTTTCGGATCACTGACCTTGGGCTCAGCCTCCACCTCTGCAGACCGGACAGCCTGAGAGTCGTCTACGCTTCCACGAGAGTCCCTCTCCTGCCAGTGTTCCCTTCAGTTGTGACGACCTGGAGTCGCTGGACTTGGGGAAGTCTTTCTGGAGGTGTACCATCACAGCTACAGGAAGTACCCCACGTACAGGCCCACTGCAGATCTACGCAGTGGTTATGCTGTAGTCACTCATGTTTCTACAACCTTTTCCAACATTGCCCATTTTGAGAGGAAGCCAACCAACCAGCCAAAAGGAGCCTTCCCAGGCCCTAGACTTTTTCACTCCTCTGCAGGAGGCAGAGAGAGGAAAGACCTTCCATAATGACTGCCGTGCACTCAGAAACAGGCTGTGATTTACACTGCGTTTCCCTCCAGAGAAGACATGCAAAACCTGGCACTCCTTTACCTTTTGTAGAAATGGAAGCGCTCCGTGAGGAGCAGAAACTGCTTCTCTCCTTGGAGGAAGAAGTGTCTGGCCCTGGAGACACCAGACTTCTGTGTGTACTCACAGATGTGAGTGAAGTTCAGGTCCTCTTTCTTGAAGTAATTTCGGAGGCGTACAAAGTCAAAGTAGGAGGGAACATAGATGAGCGTGTGAGACATGACTGCATCACGATACTGAGGCAAAATCTTGTTCACGAAAAAGTTAAACCTGATTTGGAAAGGCAAAGGGCAAAGTCAGTGGTGTAGAGATGAGGCCAGTGTCACCCCTAACTGACCCTGGGCAATCTCTCTCTACCTCCTCAAAGAAGTCAAGCTCTTTTTTTTATCAAAAAGAGATTTCATAAGGATAAAATCTGATAAGCACATTAAAAAACAAGTGGTAACACTACTCACTGTAAAAAATAGATGTTATTTTCAAACAATATGGCTTCTCTCTCACTTACCAACTTTACATTTCCCTGTATGGCCCCGGAAGATGACTGGTTAGCCAGCGACGGGTAAGATTCCTCAAGGGAGGAACAACCTAAGACAGGCACAGTCGCAGGGGGGCCATCAGGTGAGAATTTGGGGATCAACAGAGGTGAGGCTCAGAACCTCACCCCCCCTGCTTTGAGAGAAATCTTCTGCATCCGTGGATGTCTTGCTGCCCTTGTCTAGCCTGGATTAATACTTAGTCCATAGGCACACACCTGATCATCTGATCATCTACATTTGCCTTCTTACAGCACTAAACTATGTTTTCTACCTTTATCTTGCATCTACCTACCACTTCAGCATTTTATTAAAAATAAAAATAATAATAATAATAGGAGAAATGTGGGATCAACATATAAATCAAGTACAAAAATCAAATGAATATTCATATTTGACCTGATGGTTTATAGGTCATATTGCATGATCAAAACCGAAAGTTTCTGTGATGAATGCCCTTGTACTGTTCACCATGTAAGAATTTATTCACTNCTGGAATCTTGATGTTTGCAGGAGGCAAACGATGAGGGGCTTGCAGTTGAACACTGATGGGTTTCAGTGCTTGCTTCTGCGCATTAGTCCTGGCCCTGAAAAGGCCTACAATAAGATGCTGACGTGAGACACTTCACAGCACTAAGCAGTGTAATATAATAAAAACAAATGCCATCATCTAGGGGGTAGGACTCCTGATTTACAGCACTAACCTTGCCACTAACTAGCCATAAGAACTAGGACACTGGCAGCATTTTTCTCAGGGCTTCGGTTTCCTCCTCTGTCCATGACATGATTGGGCTCAGTTACCTCATTTCCTTTTTTGGTAAATGGTAATCAATAAAACCAATATGAAATCCAGTTCTAAATTTGTATGCCGAAGTCAAATCCCTCTCTGTGGCCCCTAGGCAGGCATCTGATGAGACTGGGGAAGGCTAGTACCTGGCATCAATCAGAGAAGCTAGGTCTTCAACTTCCATCCTCTGGAAGACATGTGGGAGCTGCACCAGGACAAGGCTGATGGAACCTGTCATCGGGACGTTCCTCACAGACACCTGCCAGGAGTCAGCGAGAACATTAGGAGGCGACCATCCTTACTGCCGACCAAACGCTATCTTCTCCTTCTGCCTCAGGACCCGAACAATGCTTCACGAAGACCCAAAGGAAGAAGGGAGAACCCACCTGGCCTTGCACATTGACACAGTACTTGTTGAACACAGAATTGATCTGTGCATCCTGCAGGGCACCAAACAGCAGGGTCTGGCGATAGTACTTGGACCAATTATTGAGGCTCCACATCCGCACTCGAGAAAAGTCCACCCCATGTGAGTCCAAGGGCAGCAGATTCATGTGGTTCATCAAATGCTTTGAGCAGAAAAAACACTACCATTAGGTTATTGGGCACTTACCTGTTGGGCACTGCTAAGCATTTTAGGAGTTTATCATCTTTATAACCCCCTGGAGTCTGTACTATCATCTCCCAAATTACAAGGCTCAGATTGGTGACTGACTTGCCCATACTCAGGTGAACATGCTCAACAAGACAAACTAAAACTGCCCATTTCCTGGATCTTTCCAAAAAGATAAAAATGATACCTACAGGAATATTCCTTTAAAAGGAACTTCTGAAATGCCACTCTGGTCACTCTGTGGGTTCCTAAGTCCCAGACTTGGACAAGGGAAACGATATGGAAAACAGCTGTTGTCCTTCAATGACCTGGTTCTCCGAACATTAGATTCTTAAAGCCACTACATATGCCATTTCTTCAAATTAAAGAATATGACTCATGCATCAACATGCCTTTTCTATTTTAAGTATATTTTCACCTTGTAATATATATTGAAGGGTAACAAGTACTATAAGTTTACCCCCTTTATTTGTCCCAAACTTCCTACAAGCCCTGGGGTTGTAAGAGAGGTGAGTTCTCACATGCCTTAAAAAAAAACCCACAGCTATACATCTGTGATAAGGACTGTTCCAGAGCACCATTTCTCAATCCTAAAACTGATACTACAGAGTATGTGGAGAGGGAGAAAAAATTACAGCACAAGTTATAGTCAGAGGATAAAGACATTTATGCTACACTTCTCTGCAAAACAAGATCCCACATGAAGAAACCTTGAGCAATGTCTTCCCACCTCCATTGAACTGTAGGGGGAATTGTGTTAAGTAAAGACATTCCTGCTGAGAAGGATTTTTCAACCAAACCCAGCCAACTAACAACACTAAAGTGGTCTATGAGCAGAAGCAACCTCTAGAAGAATTCTTTTCTGGAGATTGGAAAATATTGACAAAAATTTTGATCTCTTTGGATAATTTAATTATTAACTGATCTGTGGATAGAAGAGGGGACAAAAGGCTTTTTCAAATTTGAAAATGTGAAATATTTCCATCTCCAAACTAAATGAATTTTCATCTAGACTTAAAAAACCCTTAAGACTTAATCCACTGAGCTTGTCTCTCTAAATGTGAGTGTCGTCCCCCTTACGTGAGAAAGACCAGCATTACCAGGACATGCTCCCAGTTCTGCATCAGGTAAATGTCAGCTTGGTCAATGATGAGCAGCTCAATAGAAGACAGAAAGTCAAAATCTCTCTTCTCTCCTTCTCCACCAATGATAGTCCGCAGACCCAGGGGGGAGGCAATGAGGATGTCCGAGGAGTAGAAGGGAGCGTAGAGCCTGATGCTTCTCTGAAGTACTGCCACCCCTGCACAAACCAGCCAAGCGCACGACAGTTCATTAGGCACTGCCAACCACTAGCGTCCACCCGCACAAAGCCTCCTCCTCCCCCTGTACCTTCCACATCTTTTCCCTTAGCATATAACCACACTCAAATTGCTTTAACTATTAAAATAAGAACAATAATAACATCTCCTTGTATCTATGGTCCCTCAGCTCCCACTCTTCACCTCTCCTTCACCGACAAAACCCTCCAGAAAATTGTCTCCACTTTGCAATCTTCCACTCACTCCTCAGTGCACCACAAGGTGGCCTCTGATTCTCGGGACTCCACCGAAGTGACACTTGCTAAGGCCACCAATTCAATGACACGTGACTGTTTATTGTTATGATGCATAGGCAGCATTTCTGACACACCCTCCTGGAAATATTACCACTGCACAACACTCCCTT